CCCAGCTCTGACTTGTCCAGACTTGTGTTGTGTCCTTGGGCAAGACACTTCCCACTTGCCTGCTGTCTGTCAGTGGTCGGTGGTGGGCACAGATTGGCGTCATCTGGGCCGTTTGATGAGAGTTGAAGTCGTTTGTTTGTATAAGCGTGCGTGTTTGCTCTCTCAGATCCCTCACTACTCCCTGACGGTGCTGGCTGCAGATGAAGGTTCTCCTCCGCTCTCCTCCGCGCTCCTCGTCACCGTCTCTGTGTCCGACGTCAACGACAACCCCCCGCTGTTCAGCTCCGTCAACTACAACCTCTCTGTGCAGGTAATACACATAGTACTGCTACTACTACTACTTCTACTACTGCTACTACTGCTACTACTACTACTACTACTACTACTGCTACTACTGTTACTACTGTTCAGCTCCGTCAACTACATCCTCACTGTGCTGGTAATACACATAGTACTGCTACTACTACTACTTCTACTACTGCTACTACTTCTACTACTGCTACTACTTCTATTACTTCTACTACTGTTCAGCTCCGTCAACTACAACCTCTCTGTGCAGGTAATACACATAGTACTGCTACTACTACCACTACTACCACTACCGCTACTACTACTACTACTACCACTACCACTACTACTACTACTACTACTACCACTACTACTACTACTACTTACTATTACTACTACTACCACTAACTAACTACACTACTAAATACTGCTACTACTACTACTCTACTACTGCTACTACCACTACTACTACTACTACTACTACCTACTACTACTACTACTACACTACTACTACTACACTACTACTACCTACTAACTAACTACTACTACTAAATACTGCTGCTACTATTACTGCTACTGCTGCTACTACCACTACTACTACCACTACTACTACTGCTACTACCACTGCTACTATCACTACTACTACTACTGCTACTACCACTACTACGACTACGACCACCACCACCACTACTACTACCACTACTACCACCACTACTACTACCACTACTACCTCCACTACTACTACCACTAACTACTACTACTGCTACTGCTGCTGCTACTACCACTACTACTACCGCTACTACCACTACTACTTCCACTACTACTACCGCTACTACCACTACTACTTCCACTACTGCCACTACTACTATCACTACTACTATCATTACTACTACTACTACCACTACTATTACCGCTGCTGCCGCTGCTGTACTACTACTACTACTACTACTACTACTACTATTACTAAAACTACTACTACAGTGTTCTATATTTTATAAAGGAATTTTTAACAGTTTGATTGAAAATATTTCTGGAGTTGTGTTTTTTGTCTCTTGATCCACTTTAAAACTCAGACGCTCACACTTTTTGCCGTCGTCATCATCTGCTCTCTGATAATACACTGTGGGACACAAGCGCCAACTATTTTTAGCCCGACTGAAACTGCTTTGTGCCTCTGTTTTTGCTCCTTTTTCCCATTATTTTCTGTGGAAGACTAAGAAACACTTCATGTTTGTAGCACATTTTACAAACAAAGACCATTTCCAAACTCAACATAGTGAAATAACTTGAACTATTTAATTGAACTATTTGGACTATTTGGAGTTGGGTTTTGTTTCATTCACACATGTTTAACACACAAACCCTGCACATTTAGGCTGAGTTCTTCAAACAGAAAACACCCCTGCACCTTGTGATGTCATGTGGTAATACGAGAAGTGCTCCACTGTGTTTTTAAACTCCATACACCTTAACTAGAATCATTTGGATAATTTCAGCTCTGGAATTGCAAATCTCTACTAAACTAAAGGTAAAAGGAGATGTTCACTTGAAAACTACCACTATTGAGATTTTTTTAGAGGACCATCTGAGACAAAATATACAGTGCAGGGAAATGGTGGAAAGCCATAGACATATTTTCTGGACATGTTCACCTTTTTCTGTACCATTTTTGGTTCTAAAGTTCCATACGTTTTAAACAGACCATGTATGAAACATGGAACAAAAATTATTTCCCAAATTTCAAAGACCTGAAAATCATGTCAATAAATGGATGTATTTCATCATATCTTGTGTTATTCCATCTTTGAACTGTTGATGAAGGTACATGATTTTTTTTTTTAAACTGTATTTAAAATTATAAAAATTTGCTTTTTTGATATATTTTATATATAGGACTGATATATTTTATAGAAATAGTTTCCTTTCATTTTGAAGTAATATTAAAGTATTCGAAAGAAAAAAGATGACAAATTATGCAAAATCATGCACCTTCTACTTGCTTGCACAATTTTCCCTCCGTTACCATGACCTTTCTTATTAAAAAAATCTCATTACTCAAAAAGTAAGAGGTTTTCAACCTCATCTTGTACCATATGGTAGAAAACTATATGAAGCAAATATTCAAACCAGTTTGTTAAGGATATGTAAGTGAGAACCAAGAGTTATCACTGTTTGGATTTATTGCCCAAAAAGTGCTGCATATTTCATTCCCTCCGTTACCGACATGAGTTTTTTAAATTTTTTATCAACAACTTGAAAGAATATCACAGGTTTAACTTGACCCTGTTGGAGTGTAACTCTTTCCTACATTCTGATACTTTACTTATTTCAATAGTCCCTCTAGTTTCTGAATAAGAGACATTTGAATGTAAAAAATCTGCCCCTGTTTCCCTCCGTTACCACTTGACCTGACCCATATAATAATGCAGAATTACTCAAACATGTGTGAATGAAACAAAACACAACTCCAGCTCTGTTTTTGAGTAGCAACAACTTTATAACATGACTTAATGCTCACAAGAGTTGATTTTGTGTAATATAGGACCTTTAACTTAATTAAAACAGTTGAACTAGTTTAATAATATCTATTAAAGTTTACTGGCTTCAAAATCCCCAAAAAACACTGCACAACTTTAAAAATACATGTTCCCCCCCAAAGGAGCGTCCATTTGTCCAAACATTAAACTTTCCATTGAGTGGTTTAGACCCTGAGGACGACACAGACGGCTCGGGGAGAGGAGGCTCTGTCCTGGGCGCAGTTTGGAACCACTCCACTCACAAACAACCAGATGTTTTAGAAATATAAGTGCAAATGTTTGAACGAAATAAAACTTGGGTCCCAAACAAATCTGTGAGTTAAGTAAAAGGCGAAAGAAACGAATGAAGTGCGAAACAATGAAGCGTGCTTATCAGAAAATGCACACGGCCTCAAGGGGGCAGCACTGGTGATGTCTGGGTGTTATTTTTACCTCATGGATGTGGCTCAGAGAAGATTTTACATGCTGGTGTTTAGGCCTGGGTCAAAGAAATAGTCCTGGTTTAGTCCTAGGTTTGGTTCTGGTTTAGCTCAAGTACAGTTCTGGTTTAGCCCTGGTTCAGTCCAAGTTTGGTCCTGGTTTTGTGCTGGTTTAGTCCAGGTTTAGTTTGGGTTTAATCGTAATTTAGTCATGGTTTGGTTCTGTTTAGTCCTGGTTTATTTTTGGTTTAGTCCTGGTTTAGTCCTGGTTTAGTCCTTGTTTATTCTTGGTTTAGTTCTGGTTTAGTCCTGGTTTAGTCCTGGTTTAGTTCTGGTTTAGTTCTGGTTTAGTCTTGGTTTAGTCCTGGTTTAGTCCTTGTTTAGTCCTTGTTTAGTCCTTGTTTAGTCCTGGTTCAGTCCTGGTTTAGTCCTGGTTTAGTCTTGGTTTAGTCTTGGGTTAGTTTTGGTTTAGTCCTGGTTTAGTCCTGGTTTAGTTCTGGTTTAGTCCTGGTTTAGTTCTGGTTTAGTCCTGGTTTAGTCCTGGTTTAGTTCTGGTTTAGTCTTGGTTTAGTCTTGGGTTAGTTCTGGTTTAGTCCTGGTTTAGTCCTGGTTTAGTCTTGGTTTAGTTCTGGTTTAGTTCTCATTTAGTCCTGGTTTAGTCTTGGTTTAGTTCTCGTTTAGTCCTGGTTTAGTCCTGGTTTAGTCCTGGTTTAGTTCTGGTTTAGTCCTGGTTTAGTCCTGGTTTAGTCCTGGTTTAGTCCTGGTTTAGTCTTGGTTTAGTCCTAGTTTAGTCCTGGTTTAGTCCTGGTTTAGTTCTCGTTTAGTCCTGGTTTAGTCCTGGTGCTTTGGTCATGCAACTGCATTCACACACAGCACACCTTAACTAAAATTGGAACTAAACCAGGACTAATTTTGCACCCAAACCAGGACTAAATTAGGACCATTAATCTGGTTTAATAGGGCAAAAAATGTGTGAACTTTCATTTTTCTGCAATGCAATTTTGTCAAGATAAATAATAGGATTCTGTTCAAAGTTGACATTTTAAACACTGACCAAAAGACTGAAATCTGAAGTGACAAACTCATACAAGAATCACATTTCAGAACAAATCTAAACTACTTTGCAGTTTTTATGCAGAATAAGAACAGAGATTTTGTTGTTTATGGAGGAAATAATGGAACTTAAAAAACTGGAGCATTTGTGATTTGTTAATTGCGTCTATTCGGTACTGATATAATACGTCTTAGTTAGTCCTGGTGTTTTAGTTCTAGTTTTACAAACCCAAAACTTGTCTCATGAACTTTTGCCTTTTAATTATCCATAGTTGGGTTTATTTCAGGCAGAGTTGCTCGTGCAGGTCCGCCTATTTCCACTGTGAGAAAAACAACAGAAGACAGGCTTGATTTGCATTCATGTGAAGCAGTGAGCGCTCTCCAGTCACCACAGGTTCGTTAGCCTCTCGTTAGCAGCAAAAAATGGAGAGGGGTTCGCAAAATGACTCTGGGCAATTTACAAAAAGTCTTGTGATGATTTTTGCTCTACTGGACGAGGTCTGTCTGTGTTTTTGTAACGTTAATCAGGCCCAGGAGAGGTGACGCTTGTTCTTGTTAAAGTTATAAGGAGTTATATAGAAACATAGGCTACGTTCAGACTGCAGCCTGAAGGGACCCAAATCCGATTTTTTGGCCCCTATGTGACTTCTTTTAATGACAGTCTGAACAACACTCAAATGTGACCCAGGACACTTGGATATGTGCTCCTGAAACCAATACATATCTGATCTTTTGACATGTGACTTCAGTGTGAACGGCCAAAGCGCATTCATCCACCTACATGTTATCAACAAGACACAAACGTCACTATTCTGCGCTGAAGTAGGTGAAAATTATTAATGAACTCTGTGTCACTGAAGTGAAGCACATCACCACTCACCACTCTTGGCTCCATCTCCACATCCACATGTTCCTTTCTACGGACGTCGCTGCCGCTGTCCCACAAAACACCACGGCCAAAAACCTCGTCCTTCTCCTTCTCAATCTCCTCCTTAAAACAAGTAAGTTGTTCATGTTCTGGCTCCGGTACAAGAGGAACTTTAAAATCTCCAGGTGCTCAATGCTGCGTCAATGTTTGAACAACTTCCGTAAACACAGAGCACGCTCGCTGCGGTTGCGGTCATCGTGTCTCCAGTGCACATGCGGGACACTTTTGGGGCATTTAATGTTCACACTGGAGTCACATACAAGTCACATTTAATTGGAAATGTGAACGACCTCGCAAAAAAATCGGAATTGAGCATTAAGCCCTGCAGTCTGAATGTAGCTATAGTTAGGTTTGAGCTGCTCTTAGGAACTATATTAGTTTATTAAAGTGCATTTGATAGATTTTCATGTTTTTGTTTTATTTGCTTAGTTTGGTGAGATAGTTAAGTGGCCATTTGTTGAGAAGAAATCTTAAAAAAAAAAAAATGATAGAAGAAGTAGCAGTGAATTCTACTGATGTCATCAACTTCCATCTAAAAAGCAGGGGTAATTTACAAGCATGGAAGACTATCAGTAGCCTGATTCATCACTGATTCACTTCGTGGAAACTGTCTGACCTCGTAGCATTAGCATTTGTTTGCTCGACAGTAGGCGGGTACTTTTTTATTTAACCAATCCCTATTAAGCTTTTTCCAAATCCTGTAGGAAGAAGGGTAATAACATCTTTCTCCTTGATAAAATTCATCAGACATTCTCTTTGCATAATGCATTTTCCTCTTTCTGTTTCTTACATGGAGTCAGGAGTGTTCGATTCTGGCTCCAGTTCAGTTTTTATTGACAAAACTGCTGCTGTGAGCCTTGTCATTTTGGTCTTAAAATGTTCATATTAACCCGCTCTGCATGATCCTTATGCTTTTACTTTAACATTTTGTCTGTGATTCTATTGTTATTCCTAAATTGGCTGCAAATTCACTCCTTGAAACCGCTATCCTCGTCAGCGTCATTTGACCGGAGCCAAACGCTACGGGTGACGTCTGCGCTCTGTCCCTTCTTTCTGAATTAAAATGTAAATATGCCTAATCCCATTGAACCATCCCCCAACACTGGACCGGGCTGCTCTAAAATCCATCCATTTAAATTCAACTCACCTCACTCTCCTCTTCTCGCTGTGTGTTTGATCATGCATGGACTAATTGAATTTTGAGAGACCGTTTTCAAATCACATCTTTGGACATCCTTGTGAACCGTTTTATCCTCACCTACCTGTTCAGTTTCTTCACTTACTTTGAACTTAAAATATGCAAAATGTTTCAACTTGCTGGAGGAAGTGCCATCCATCAACCCACTAAAGAGTTAACCACCTTATTTAGCGCAGAACCTGGAAACGATTTGTCAAACTTTTCAATATCGCCTCTAATTCCAAGTTGGCTGGTCGGTTGGAGGCTAAATCCAATCAAACAATTAGCCCTCGCAGCTAACACGTGTAGTGGCGCAGGATAGCAATTTCGGGATTCCAGGACCTTTGGCGCGTTTAAAGAAAAGAGAGCGAGCGGGTTTGTGGTCAGAAATAGCCTTGGAACGGCAGCTAATGGAAGAAAAGTTTAATTAAATTGAGCATATGAGCGAAAGAGAAATAAGAGGACGGGAGATGGCACTTTGGTGGACGTCACAGGATTGTGCCTTTGGTAATTGCTCGGTTCTTGTCAGGTTTGATTAGATTGATCAGTTTAGACAAGGGAAAGGGGAAAGGAGACGCTGTTTTGTAGTGTAGTATTTGTCTTGGGTGAAACAAAAATTAGTTGTAAATATACGTACAAAAACAGAATTAACTTTTGCTGGTTGGGGGTCCGTCACCTTTTGTTTCTATGGAAATGTCATTACTCTGTCTGGAAAGTTCCATAGTATGACCTTAAACAGCTCTACCTTACATTGAGTGTGTATACATGCACATCAGTATCCCGGTTATTAGCCATATCCCGGTTCTGTCAGTATTTGGGATACTGCGTATACATGGGCGCTGAGAAACAGGGACACTCATATGAATGAATGAATGTTTATTCTGACAGTAATACATAGAACATAAATTTAAATAAATTTAACAACGTAAATACGTAGATATAACACAAAAAGTAACTATTTCTATTCTATAATAACAGGCAAAATAAATGTTACGCCGAATTTTCCTTGTGTCCGAAAAAGGAGTGGGAGGAAGTAAATACTTATTTAACCCCACCCCTTTTTTCTATAGTCCCAAATTAACAAAGAACATATATAGACTTCTCATTTCCTGTACAATATAAGCAATAATTGCACAGTGCCTGCATTGCATTACAAATCTAACAAACAACAACAAATATATATATATATTATGTACACATATATAATATATACATACCTAAATACATATTATATACACATATACATACCCGTGCATACCTATACACACACACATATTATATATATATAATATGTCAGGGGCCGAAGGGGGTCCGGTTTGGGGACCACAGGATTTCATCTCTGCTGTTTGCGGACGATGTTGTTCTGTTGGCTTCATCGAGCCAGGACCTGCAGTGTGCACTGGGGCGGTTTGCAGCCGAGTGTGAAGCGGCTGGGATGAAGATCAGCTCTTCCAAGTCCGAGGCCATGGTTCTCGACCGGAAAAAGGTGGCTTGCCCTCTCCGGGTGGGTGGAGAGTCTGCCTCAAGTGGAGGAGTTCAAGTATCTCGGGGTCTTGTTCACGAGTGAGGGAAGGACGGAACGTGAGATTGACAGGCGGATCGGTGCAGCTTCGGCAGTGATGCAGTCGCTGTATCGGACCGTTGTGGTGAAGAGGAGCTGAGTCGAAAGGCGAAGCTCTCGATTTACCGGTCAGTCTTCGTTCCTACTCTCACCTCTGGTCATGAGCTCTGGGTAATGACCGAAAGGACGAGATCGCGGATACAAGCGCTCGAAATGAGTTTCCTCCGCAGGGTGGCTGGGCGCTCCCTTAGAGATAGGGTGAGGAGCTCAGTCACACGGGAGGAGCTCGGAGTAGAGCCGCTGCTCCTCCACGTCGAGAGGAGCCAGTTGAGGTGGCTCGGGCATCTGTTCCGGATGCCTCCTGGGCGCCTCCCTCGGGAGGTGTTCCAGGCATGTCCCGCCGGGAGGAGGCCCCGGGGAAGACCCAGGACACGCTGGAGGGACTATGTCTCTCGGCTGGCCTGGGAACACCTCGGGGTCCCCCCGGAGGAGCTGGAGGACGTGTCTGGGGTGAAGGAAGTCTGGGAGTCCCTGCTTAGGCTGCTCCCCCCGCGACCCGGCCCCGGATAAGCGGACGAAAATGGATGGATGGATGGATGGATATTGGAATATACCAGCTACAGTATCCCGGTTTGTAATAACCTGGATACTGAAACTGGGGTACTGCGTTTATATGCACCATGAAGAAACCGGGATACTCAAAAAACCCGATCATAACCGGGATACTGATGTGCATGTATACACAATCATTTATTCAATTACATGTGGTTTTGTAGCTCAAAAATACCTAGAAAAATGGGCATTCTGACTGTGAGTGAGGTCGTCCTAGCCTGATTCATCAGCTGATTCATCACTTCGTAGAAACCATCTTTAGGTTTTTGTCTGTCTTACCTTGAGAGTTGTGGATATATTCTTCATGGACAGAATATGTCTTTTGTGAACCTTGTTGGTTGAAGATTGGTTGACGGGGCAGATTTATGAAGCTGGCAAAACATTTCCACAGACATTTTGCTGTAGAAAACCATTAACCTGAAGTCGCACAAACCTGCAGCGGGGCACTTCCAGCTGTTGTAAAAGTGGTCTGTTGTAGCACGACCCAGCAAAACCCCACAGAGACGTCATTAGGGCTGAAATGGTCACGTGGACTGTTCTGGCCACTGTTCTCCTGACATGTCGTAGCTTTCGATTGTTGCCTCCAGTTTACGTCTAATGGTAATACCTGTTGTGTCCACAGGAGGGCGAGGCGGTGGGCAGCACTCTCCTTCAGCTCGTGGTCTCGGACAAAGACACGCCCAAAAATGGACCTCCCTTCTCCTTCCACATCGTCAGCGGCAATGAGGACCGTCGTTTCCATGTCGACCAGGGCGGACTGCTGTCTCTGTCTGCCCCGCTGCGGAGGAAGAGCCGAGCCAGGCACCAGCTCAAGATACAGGTGAGGAGGAGGAGAGACAGGTGAGGAGGAGGAGGAGAGGAGGAGAGAGGGGTGAGGAAGAGGAGAGACAGGTGAGGAGGAAGAGAGACGGGTGAGGAGGAGGAGAGAAGGTGAGGAGGAGGAGAGACAGGTGAGGAGGAGGAGGAGAGAGGGGTGAGGAAGAGGAGAGACAGGTGAGGAGGAAGAGAGACGGGTGAGGAGGAGGAGAGAGAGGGTGAGGAGGAAGAGAGACGGGTGAGGAGGAGGAGAGAGGGGTGAGGAGAGGAGAGACGGTGAGGAGGAGGAGAAGACGGGTGAGGAGGAGAGAGTGAGAGAGGAGGAGAGAGGGAGGAGGAGAGACAGGTGAGGAGGAGGAGAGAGGGGTGAGGAGGAGGAGACAGGTGAGGAGGAGGAGGAGGGTGTGGAGGAAGAGAGAGGAGGAGAGACGGGTGAGGAGGAGGAGAGAGGGGGAGGAGGAGGAGAGTCGGGTGAGGAGGAGGAGAGAGGGTGAGGAGGAGGAGAGACGGAGAGGGTGAGGAGGAAGAGGAGAGACGGGTGAGGAGGAGGAGAGACGGGTGAGGAGGAGGAGAGACGGGTGAGGAGGAGGAGAGACGGGTGAGGAAGAGGAGAGACAGGGTGAGGGAGGAGAGACGGGTGAGGAGGAGGAGAGAGGGTGAGGAAGAGGAGAGACGGGTGAGGAGGAGGAGAGACGGGTGAGGAGGAGGAGAGACGGGTGAGGAGGAGGAGAGACGGGTGAGGAAGAGGAGAGACGGGTGAGGAGGAGGAGAGACAGGTGAGGAGGAGGAGAGACGGGTGAGGAGGAGGAGAGACGGGTGAGGAGGAGAGACGGGTGAGGAGGAGGAGAGACGGGGTGAGGAGGAGGAGAGACGGGTGAGGAGGAGGAGAGACGGGTGAGGAGGAGGAGAGACGGGTGAGGAGGAGGAGAGGACAGGAGGAGGAGAGACGGGTGAGGAGGAGAGACGGGAGAGGAGGAGAGAGACGAGGTGAGGAGAAGAGGAGAGACGGGTGAGGAGGAGGAGGAGAGACGGGTGAGGAGAGGAGGTGAGGAGGAGAGACGGGTGAGGAGGAGGAGAGACGGGTGAGAGAAGGAGGAGAGACAGGTGAGGAGGAGGAGAGAGGTGAGGAGGAGGAGAGACGGGTGAGGAGGAGGAGAGACGAGTGAGGAGGAGGAGAGACGGGTGAGAGAGGAGGAGAGACGAGGTAGAGGAGAGGAGAGAGGGTGAGGAAGAGGAGAGACGGGTGAGGAAGAGGAGAGACAGGTGAGGAGAAGAGGCAGGAAGAGGGATTGATACAGCAGTGACATCATGCTGGGGGGTTCTGCATGCATGTCTATGGTGGACAGCTGTTACCATAGTGACACAATGCACATATTAGCAAACACTACCAGATAAGTTTTAAGACTGTCTGAAAACTGATCAATGCAAAAAAATACTGCATTTGCACCAGTATTCATTTTAGCTGCTGCGTCATTATCGATCAGGGCATGTGTTTAATATTAAACTGGGCCTAGTGTCATGTATAAACATAGCTCCTCTGTTATTGTACATTCAATACGATTCCATCAAATTCACTTAACAAGTCCAGGCTGAAGCTCAATTTACTGTCCAGTGTCAAATCATCAAGAATCGCGTGGAACAGTGGATAACTTATACCATCTTCGTAATATTTAAAGGAGAAAACAAACAAATGTCTACTCTGAAAATTCAAAATAGTTGGTGAATTACCATATTTTCCGCACTATAGGGACTCTGGATTATAAGGCGTCATTAAATGGTCTATTTTCAAACTTTTTTCACAAATAAACCACACTGAACTTTAAACGAAACACAACAGTTGGATGTGCAGTGTTGGGAAGGTGACTTTTAAAATGTATTCCCCTACAGATTACAGATTACATACACCAAAATGTAGTTTGCAACATAATCCATTAAATTACTTAACGTGAGTAACGTAACCTGAATACTCTGGATTACTTGATTTGCTGTAGAGCAGTAAAGACTAGGATATCTTCACATAAGATGTTTTGTCTGATAAAAGAAAAGAAAAAGCCCAGATTAAAAAATATTATTGATAGAAGAGAAGGAGGAGGAGACACGGTCCATACAGCATGGTTTAGTTCTGTTAAATCCTGTTAAATCTTAGTTTAGTCCTGATTTAGTCCTATTTTATTCCTATTTTAGTCCTGGTTTAGTTCTGGTTTTAGTCCTGGTTTAGTCCTGATTTAGTCCTATTTTAGTCTTTCTTTGGTTTTGGTTTTAGTCCTGGTTTAGTTCTGTTTTAGTCCTGTTTTAGTCCTGATTTAGTCCTGGTTTAGTCCTGGTTTGAGTGGAATTACTGAAAAAAAAAAAAAGGGATATTGCCCAAAATGTGAAAACAGGAAAATATTGCTGTGTAATCCGTTTATTTCAACCAAGTAACTGTAATCCAATTACCACTCAGAAAACTCTGAAACAGTAACTATAACTGAATACAGTACAGTATTTTGTACAATGATTACATAACTCCGGTACATGTAATCTGTTACTCCCCAACACTGTCAATGGGTGAGTGGTTTTGTTTGTTTGCAGCGTTCACAGTGACTCTGGGCTTTGTTCAGTTGTGGCGTGTAGGGAGGGTGCTGTCTGGGACCAACGGATTGTCGTGTTCGCAGTGACTCAGTTGTTCAGTTTTGTCTAGAAGTGGCACATTGCACTCGCTTTTTCGGTTCGTTCCTCCGTTCCGTTCCTCGTCGGCGTGGAGTGATGAGTGTGTCTGTGGGTCGCTGTCTGCTCCGTGTGTGTTTGCGGCTTTGTAGTTCACTGAAGTCGTGCTGGGACACCCGAGTGGATTCGTGTGTAGGGCGCTCTGGATTGCGGGGGGGCGCGGTCATTTTTTATGGGGTTAGAGACTTAAAGGCGTAAAAGCGTAAAATATCCCGGAAAATACGGTATACTTGCTGTCAGTCTGAAAACAATATTAGATACTTGTGCCAAAATGATTCAACACATGGACATTAAACGCCTCTTTAGCCTTGGCTGATGGACTGCTGAGGATGCAGGTTGCCGTGGATACCTCTTTCCAGAATGTTCCCTTATATTTTCCTTCACATATTAGCTCCATGCTCTGTCATATGAGAAAGGGCTGAGGCTGCAGCCCTGCTCCTGTGGGACTGCAGTCTGTGAAACCTCTTTAAAATCTGCTTACGTTCACTTGGAGACAAAAATACTCCATAAGCCTTTTCACTCTGCTCCCACATGTCATTAAAGATTGACTGTGTAACTTTTCAAGCTCGTGTTCGTGGAGGTGAGATTGCTCTGTCCGGGATATTTTACAGTCCGGCGTTAAACCTACCCATCTCCGTGGATACAAGCACCACCGGGGAAAAGTTATAGGTCAGATCTCTGGAGAGGCGACCCCATTTACACCTGTTCAGACCTGTTATAGGCGTTTTTGTGATTAAGGTCTCGTGTGGGACTGGTTTGGACCTGGTTTAGTCCTGGTTTAGTCCTGGTTTAGTCCTGTTTTAGAACTGGTTTAGTCTTGGTTCAGTCCTGGTTTAGACCTGGTTTAGACCTGTTTTAGAACTAGTTTAGTCCTGGTTTAGAGCTGTTTTAGTCCTGGTTTAGTCCTGGTTTAGACCTGGTTTAGTCCTGGTTTAGACGTATTTAGACCTGGTTCGTCCTTTGTGTAGTCCTTGTTTTCTACTTATTTACAGTACTTCTGGTTTAGATCCTGATTTAGACCTCCTATAACCCAAGTCCTTATTTAGACCTGATTAAGTCCTGCTCTAGTCCTGGTTTAAACCTGCATTAGTCCTGTTTGGTCCTAATTTAGACCTGCTTTCGTCGTGGTTCAATCCTGGTTTAGTCCTGGTTTAGCCCTCGTTTCGGTTTGGCTCAGTGCTGATTTAGTCTTGGTTTTGGTGTAGTCCTGGTTCAGTCCTGGTTTAGTCCTAGCTTAGTCCTGGTGTAGTCCTGTTTTAATCCTGATTTAGTCCCGATTTAGACTTGCTTTAGTCCTGGTTAAATCCTGGTTTAATCCTGGTTTAGCCCTGGTTTAGGTCTGGTTCAGTGCTGATTTAGTCTTGGTTTAGTCCTGCCTTAGACCAGCTTTAGTCCTGGTTCACTTCTGGTTTAGTCCTGGTTTAAACCTGCTTTATTTCTCTTTAACCCTGGTTTTGTCTTCAGTCCTTTGTTACATTACTTCTGGTTTAGACACAATTATAAATAGCATCTTCAAGTCCCTATTTAGACTCTGTTAAATCCTGGTTTAGTCTTGGTGTAGTTCTGGTTTAGTCCCAGTTTAATCCTGTTTAGTCCTGGTTTAGTGGTGGTTCCGTCGTGGTTTAGTCCTGCTTTAACCCCGTCATTCCAATCGTATCATATTCGTATCAGATCCGTGCAGAAGTGTCTGTGTTTCTGAAGACGGTGCATGTTCTGAGCAGAGCTGAATCCGCACTTCTCTCTTTACATACTCCACTAATGTTTCTGCGAATTTAAACTCGCTGAGGTTAATATTTTAAGCAAATCGGACGTCGCCTCTTTTCTAACAAATGCATACAAATCCCTTCATATAATGTGCTCTGGGACTCTGCGGTGAGATGCAGAATGAATATACATGATTACTTAAACAGATTAGTCAAACAGAACTAATTCTATTTGTTTTAATTAAGGAAAAGTAATCCGTTTTCTCGTTAAAATGCATCGTTTGTAAAGCTGGCTCGGTCACGGATCTTGTGTTAAAATGATGACTAAAAAGAAAGATGGTCTCAAAATTCCTCCATAAAAAATACAAAAAATATAGTATAGCAGTAACATAGTAGTAGTAGTAGCAGCAGAAGTAACAAAACTAAAATGTGCTAGTAATTTTGTATGTAGAGTTCAAGCAGTGTAGTACATTGTAGTACTACATAGTCATAACAGTAGACGTATTATTAGTAGTTGTAGTAGTCATGTCAGAAATATATGAATATCAATTATAGACCAGTGTTGGGGGAAGGTGACTTTTAAAATGTATTCCCCTACAGATTACAGATTACATACCCCAAAATGTAGTTTGTAACAGAATCTATTAAATTACTTAAAGTGAGTAACGTAATCTGAATACTTTGGATTACTTGATATTGTCATGTTTTTAAAACTACAGGAATGTAGCAACAACATCCTGAAAATTCATGTTTGTTCTCTTCAAATTGGCCCTGGTTCAGTCCTGGTTTAGACCTGATTTAGATCTGGTTTAGACCTGGTTTAGTCATTGTTTTAGGTCTGGTTTAGTCCTGGTTTAGACCTGGTTTTAGTCCTGGTTTAGTCCTGGTTTAGTCCTGGTTTTAGTCCTGATTTAGTCCTGGTTTTAGTCCTGGTTTTAGTGCTGGTTTAGCCCAAAATGTGAAAACAGGAAAATACCGCTGTGTAATCCATTTATTTCAATGAAGTACACAATACAGAACACAATCCAATATACATCAATGTTCACACACACACACACACACACACACACACACACACTGACCCTGTACATGTTAATATTTATACCTATTGGTTTATAACAGGGGTGTCCAAATGTTTTTCATCAAGGGCCACATATCTAAACACAGACAAAGCAGAGGGCTGATCAAGGGCCGTAGACTGGAACTCAGTACAGTGAATAATTGAAATATGTGCACGTTTAACACTTTGGAATGAGCCATTAGCACATTAAATTAGCTTTATCAAAGTTTTTCAAAAAACTTGCAAAAAGATTTTCAAATTTCAAAATTTGTTTTCTGAGGGCCGCATTTGACCCACGGGCCGTAGTTTGGACATGCCTGGTTTATAATATACACTTAAATAGATAAGTATAATTGGAGGTTACAGTTAATCTGTAGGTTTGATGGGGTAATATGATTTATAGTATTTCTCTATGTTTCTCTATAATTTTAGTCTTATTTTTTTTTTTAAATGTGTAAATTGTTTTAGAGCCTTTTAAAGTTTCATCGAGACACATCGACTTTTCAGGCTGCTCCTCACAAGAGCTTTCTGAAAGAGTCTCGATCCTCTCAGACTGTCCTCACTCTCTCTGGGTTTGAACATCTCTTGGATACTCTGAGGGAGCAGATTATTATGTTGTAGTTTTTTATGTAGTTTATTTATAATAATATGTAGTTTTACTGTAGTGTCCAGTACTTTTTAGTTAAAATGTTTCATAAACATTAACAGTCGAAGCCTGCCGAGGTTTTGGAAGTAAATTTCCCGCTCATTATTTTCCGTAGACTTCAAATATAAACTAAAACCAGCTATGAAGCAGCTTACATCCATAATCTAGTTGTTGTTGTTTTTGTTGTTCTGTGTCCTAAAAGCTCACTGACTAAATATTTGAATAACTTGGCGATTTGTACATTTTCAGAAACAGATTGCAAATAAATATATAAATCTCAAAGTCACTGTTGACATCCACAAGATCTCACAAGATAAAACTGCCACGAGAACGTGTACACATGATGAAAATGATCTTGTGAGATTTCGTTTGTGTGTTTGAGTTTACATTTGGATTGGACATAAAAGGGTTACGTGTTCATGAGTTACATCTTTTACAGTTCTGAAAAGCAGCACTAGACAACAAAAATATGTTGTCTAACCCACTTCCTGGACATGACAGTGTGATTGGTCCTCTGTCCTCCTATTGTCTCCCTGCAGTGAGGAACCTTGGGGTCATTGTGGACTCTGTGTTCAGACTTGACAAGCACATTAGGTCTGTGATGAAGCCCAGAAAAAGCTTAGAAAAAGCTATCCATGTGTTTGTTACACTGTGCCTGGACTATTGTAATTCTTTGTATGTCGGGTTGGCCCAGGGCTCCCTGCTGCGCTTACAACACGTCCAGAACACTGCAGCTCGTCTGCTGATAAATACTAACAAACGAGAACACATCACACCTGTGCTGTGCGACCAGCACTGGCTCCCTGTTTTATATCAGGTGCAATTTAAAATGTTATTGATTGTGTTCAGATGTTTACACTCCAGTCTATTTGAGGGTGACAGAGACAGAACTGTGGAAGAACCGTCCTCTTCCTGTCAGATCCTCTCAGTCTGTAACGCAGTTTAAGACTAGACTGAAAACTCACCTCTTCTCCCTGACATTTAGTACTATCCAGTCAGCTTTTTTTTTGGTGTTTTATTGTAGTTTTCACATGTGTTGTGTTATCTGTATATGTATCTGTTTCTTCTATGTTGTTGACTTGTATGTGAAGCACTTTGGTCAGCTGAAGTTGTTTTAAATGTGCTATATAAATAAACTTGAATTGAATGAAATCAGATAAATAAATAAAAAAGTGAGGCCAAAATTGGAAAGTGAATTGAGAAATGTATATATTTATAGGAATTATATTAAAATCTCGTTTTATCTTGTTCTCGTGGACTTAATCTCATATCTCAGCTCATCTTGTGGAAGCTAGTGACTAAAATGCACCTATAGACTTCCATCCATCCATCCATTTTCTTCCGCTTATCCGGGGCCGGGTCCTGAGGAAGACCTAGGACATGCTGGAGGGACTATGTCTCTCAACTGGCTTGGGAACGACTCAGGATCCCCCTGGAGGAGCTGGAGGACGTGTCTGCGGTGAAGGAAGTCTTGGAGTCCCTGCTCAGATTGCTGCCCCCGCGACCTATAGACAGTGTTGGGGAGTAACAGATTACATGTACCGGAGTTACATAATCAGAGTACAAATTATGAGCAACTGTATTCACTTACAGTTACTGTTTCAGTGAGTGGTAATTGGATTACAGTTACTTTGTTGAAATAAATGGATTACATGGCAGTATTTTCCTGTTTTTTTCCATGTATTTTGGGCTATATCCCTTTTTTTTCTCTCTCTGTAATTCCACGCATTGCCGGACACTAAACCAGATCTAAACCAGGTCCAAAAAAGGTCTAAACCAGGGCTAAACCAGGTCTAAACCAGGTCTAAACCAGGTCTAAACCAGGTCCAAATCAGGTCTAAACCTGGTCCAAACCAGGTCTAAACTAGGTCTAAACTAGGACTAAACCAGGACTAAACTAGGTCTAAAGTAGGACTAAACCAGGACTAAACCAGGACTAAAAACCAGGTCTAAACTATGTCTCAAACATATTGGGGACCCATGTCTAGGCTGGTCCAACGTTTCTTTGGCGCTTTTCAAGAGACTTCGACGGGAGTTTGATGCTTCGATGTGAACTCAGCATTACTTTTATTAACCCGTTGGCACATACTAACTGTTTAAACCTGATCATTTCTTACTCCAGGTGACGGACAGCGGCTTCCCTCCTCTCTCCTCCATCTGCGTCGTCAACATCAACGTCACGGAAACCAGCCGCTTCGCCCCCTCCGTCGTCCCGCTCGAAGTCTTCATCACCACATCAACCACCCAGTTCTCCAACCGCGCCATCGGCAAAATCCACGCCTCCGACCAGGACCTGCACGACACCCTGGTCTATAACATGGCCTCCCAAAACCCGCCAGAATCCAGGTTTTCAGTCGGACTTTCGGACGGCAAGATCTGGGCAGAGGACAACCTGAAAGAGGGCACCTACTCTCTCAATGTTAGCGTTTCCGATGGGAAGTTTGTCGTTTTTACCGGGGTCAGAGTTCACGTGTGGTCTGCTAATCAGAAAGCGCTGGACGGAGGGATGACGTTGCAGTTTTCAGGGATGGGGCCGGAGGAATTCATCGGAGATTATTGGAAAGGGGTGCAGAGGAGTTTGGGGTCAGAGCTCGGAGTGAGCAAACAGGAGCTACATCTGGTGAGTCTGCAGCAGAGACCAGAGTCCAAAATCCTGGAAGTTCTGATCGTCGTGAAACCCAAGACTGAACCGGCTCCTCCTCTGCCCGTCAACAAGCTGCAAGGTCAGATATAACATCATAAAATTCTTTTACATGTATCTCTATGGTGGAATGTTCAGCAGTTACCATGGTGACTCATTAGCAAACACTGTCAAAAAAGTTTTAATATCATCTAAAAACTCAAAAAATTGACTTAAACAGCACATTTTTCGGAATCTGATCAAATTGAGCGTTCATGGTCCTGTTTAGGAGTTTGATTTTCAACAAAAAGGTGAGAGAGACTAACTAACTAACAGTTTGTGACTGTAATGTTTTTTTGTAATTTGAGATGGACTTGTTTATATCCATGGCTTTCAGAATGACGGAAAATTAGAACCAATGCCATAGCGATTAACAATTCAAAACAAAAATCCTACCGTATTTTTTGTACTATAAGTCACTCCAGAGTATATGTGAAAAATCCCTCAGTCGTCTATATCCAGGTATAATCCATGGCAAAGAAGAATTTCAATTTGTCGACCTGACAAAAGCTGCTTCTTCAGTTCTGCTTCTTGAGTCCAGAACTGAAGAAGCAGCTTGGATGTGTTCTGAAACGTATTCGACCAAATAAACTTTTGTCCAGACGACAAATTGAAATTCTTTGCTCCAGAGTTTAAGTCGCACCAGCAAAACATGTGTAATGAAGAAGAAAAAACATATGTAAGTGTCACTAGACTATAAGTCACACTTTTGGGTTGAAATGTAATTTTATAAAATCAGAAACCAGGCACCAACATTTCATAACTATAGCATAAACAACATAAGGTAACAAGTTTACCAAACTCTCGATCTCACTCCAAATCACTAAATCCATTCAATTCTTCATCCTCCAGAGGTAAACAGAGCGTCGCTTCCTCTTCTGTGTAGCTGTCGTCAGACTCAGCATCAGTTCCAGTTAGAATTATTCCAGCCTTTTTGAATCCCGTGATCAGTGACTTCCAGGAAAGTTGCATGGTGCATCCTCCCGGTGTCACAAGTTTTTCACTCACTCCAAACTTTCTTTCTGCTGCTCGATTACCGTTTTCAGCTGCATATTTCTCTACTTGCAGTTTGTAATCTGCAAAATCTGATTTTCTTTTTAGGGGTATTTTTGTTTAGTCTTCTCAGTCGTCTTTATAAGTTTGTTAAAATTTTTATTTTTCAGGGGTACAGAAGTAATGGTGCAATTGACATAATACCAGACAGGACAGAGGCTCTTTTTGCAGGAGACATGTGGAGTAGAGTGAAGTGACAGTGGTACAGGAGGAACAGGAACAGCAGATACTCACACACAAGACTAGAGACTCTTACGGCTTCAGTGTGAACATTTTAATATATAAGTTGCACCGGAGTCTAAGTCACAGGAAACACCCAAACCATGAAAAAAGTGCAACTTATACTCCAAAAAATACAGTATATCGTACAACAGGAAGCTCAAATCCATCAATCTATCAAAAATCTTTAATAGCAGTCATGGGACATAAAATCTTCCCCGAAATAATACAAAAGCAAGGCAAAGGACGCCAGCCAGTATTCACGGTGTTACCATAAAATAATTAGTGTTTCGTCCCCATTGCCACTGCATCTGAAGCTAATTAGATTCTTTATTATTGCACAGGTGTCACCAGGACTGAACCCAATATTCCAATTACAACTAAACCACTTAACGGTATTTGCATATAGTAAATTGTACATCCAGGGACCCTAATCAAAAGCATTGTATTTTAATTATAGCGTGTAGTTCCGCGGCAGAAGCAGAGGTTGTAAAAGTCTTCCAGTCCAGCGTGGTGGTTTTCCTGAATCCGAAGGGAAATCAGTCACAATGCAATAAAGCCACTCAAACAGAAACAAGGCCAATTTATACGAACAGGGAACTATAATGAAGCCATGAAGGTTTGTCTCCCGCTGCAAAAGGCATCATAAAATAACATTCTATATGGACCAGAACAAGACAAAAAGTGTGCAAAAGATACACTGTAAAATCATAATAGGATAGTAGGAGTGAAGAAGGTTTTGCATGTTCTCCCCGTGTCTCCGGGCATGAACTACGGGTAAAATCATCTTCCAGCTAAGGTCGTCCTGACCAAGACAAATTTCCCTATGGAGACAATAACCGGTCAGATACTTGCAATTTCAATCATTTTTGGTTTAAAGGTTGTATAGAGGATTTTTAAAGTGAAATACATCGACAGTCCTTTTTCAAATGTTGTGCATGCGTGACACAACCTTCCTCCTCCACAGCTCCCTCAGTAGAAACACCTCCTCCTGCCTCTTTACTCTAGAAATCACACTTGTTTACATCCAGAAGTACTGTTAAAGTGACCTGTCTAGAAATAATTTAGCGACCGCCGCGTCAGTTTTTAGACCCTTTGTCTCTCTGGAAGGAATCTCCAAGAATCACCTCAGTTTGTCTTCGCTCCTTTTCCCCTTCTCTTCTTCTTTCAGCGACCTCAAAAACGGACTTTCTTTTGCGGCGAACTGGTCGTGGATTCTCGTCCGCCATCGCGACAAACTTTGTGCAGATTGCGAGGAAGCGACAGTTTGTAAAAGCCTCTAAGAACCGCTGCATAAACCACGTAATCCCCGCGCGCCGGCGAGTCAGTTACACTAGAAACGTAGGGAGTTTGATTGACAACCTAACAGCCAATAGAAAATGAGGTAGCCTTGTTGTCTATTGGCTGATGTTTAGCTGGCCTCACTACGTCCACAGTTGATAGATTTTCATTCTTTTTTTTTTTTGGTCATCATAATTACAAAGCTGCTGCGTCTCTGTAATGGTATTTTAAACTTTCATTGATAATTTGAAACTGAAAAAAAATCCTCCATACAACCTTTAACTATTCATGTTCTTGTGTAGATTTTTTCCAGATTGATTACTAGAATGTGGAAAGTATGAGATGTGTTATAAATTTGCATCAAATTATATATTTGACCATAGAACACCCTCGGTTTTAAAGCTTTAGAAAATGTTCTCGTATCTGAGCAGCTCTGTGTTCCATGTTTGAGCTGCTCGATAAAAGCAAAAGAGAGCTGTCCAAAAGCACTTTTCCTAAACACCACAGAGCAGTCGCCTCTAGAGCCTGCTCGTCCGATTTGAATTTCTTTTCACAAACTCCTTTAGAGGAGGTGGTGCAAGATTATTAAAAATTGTGTATACCAAAATTAAATCTGTGTGTTTGTCCCTATTAAGACATTTGTATTTGTCAATTATTCTTCAATAGTAATAATTATTGGACTTTTTGTATAATACCATAAGTGATTTTTTATAGATAGTTTCAGCTAATTTAAGAGGAGTTTTGCTTGTCGGAGTCCAATTAGTAATAAAATAGTTAAGGTGCGGCAAAATCATTGAAGTTAAATACATCGTTGCAGAGTTTGTTGTTAGATTATTTCTTATATGACGAAAATTTGATAATATATTTGATTTGACCATATGGTAAGTGTCACACAGCATTACATATGTTTTCTTTACAGTGCTTTTTAAAATATAACTGACAGAAGATTCCATCCAAAACCTGTTGTTATATTTTAAAAGGGTATTTTCTGTTTTTCTTGTTTAAATACCTCTCTTTCTCTCTCTCTCTCTCACATATTTCAGGTATAATCTCAGACATGGAGGATGCGTTGGGTGTGACGGTCCTCAGAGTGACCCATGCAGGCTGCGCAGGTCCAGGCTGTGCCCCCAGAGGCTGCAGGAGCTCGGTGCGGCTGACAGGGGGCAGTGTGGCGCACTACACCACAGCCCGGGCGGGGTACATCACGCCACACCACGCCTGGGAGAGCGTCTGCCCATGCAACGGTAACTGGGACTGTAACTATGCAGCATATAAAACAGGACGATTGGTTTAGATTCTCTTCAAGGTGCGAGAGTGGACAGCACTGTCTGAGGAATTTAGCGATCTTCCCTGGGCGCTATTCAAACCCTCCTGACAGTTAGCAGTTCAAGTCTGCCCAAAGCTCATCTCACAAGCCTATGTTGATTCATAAATATACAAAACCAGGATACACAACAATACACTACAACTTCACAAACCTGATGTGATGTGCAGTAGTTTTGTCTGGTTTCAGTCCAACCAGACAAAGGAACAAGAAGGCAAATAATTATAATACAGAAAATAATAAGTGATAATAAAGTGACCTTAAAGCAAACTAAACAAACTAACCTAGTAAAACTAACTAAATAGTGCTCCCCCCAACCCCCTTTGTTGATTCCGTTGATGGTCTCTTCCGAGGGTCCTCTATCCTTTACTCAAAAAAACCCCCAAAAAGAACAAGTGTAAGTAATAAATAATTCAGACTTATATCAAAATGTGTGCACCCAAATTAGAATAGAAGTTATATAAGTCATATACAGGTGGTTTTATACCTCAAAAACCCCTAGAAAAACAAACATTCTGACAGTGAACGGGGTCGCTTCTCCACAGATCTGGGGCCTCATTTATAAAAAACTGCGCAGGAGTTGTCGTAAGTTAGTGCGTACGTCTAGTAGCTAAGACAGGCGTGCGCCACGCAAACTCCATATTTAGAAAACCCACCGCACGCACCAAACTCTTTGCTTTATAAATCCCATCTGCATCTAGAATTTGCGCACGTAAACCCACGTCACGTCACGCCCTCTCCACACCTCCACCTCACCATAAAAGGAGCATGTAAAGTGACTCGTGAATGAGATTTCCCTAAACATGAGCCGATAATCAGTGGGTTTGACCGAGACACGCGGGACAGAGGGAGGAGGACGCTCCACGCAGCACCACGTGATCACGACAAAGACTTTATTAAAGACTTTATTAAACCTTGTTTAATAAATAAATACAAAACTAAAAGTGACAACAATAACTCATCTGTTCATTTAATCATATTTTATAATATTTAGGCAGCACATCTTTGCAGTAAAGACCATGTGTTTTTTCACTGTTTCAAGAGTTTTATCGCTATATTTTTAAGTCTGTCTATGAAGTGTGTGAGGACTGGCCCTGTGTATTTATGCATATACACGTAGATACGTGCACGCGCTGATCTGAACGGTCAAATTATGAGCGCGTGCGAGAGATTCAGATGCCCTCCCCTGGAGAGGGAAAGGAGCGAGGGAGGGACACGAGGATACGAGGACACAGATTTAGCACGAAACACATCAGATACAGATTCTGCCAATTAAAGTCCACACGAAACATCCAAACTGCTGAACCTGTGAGTGTGGGTCTGGGTCTGTGAGTGTGGGTCTGGGTCTGTGAGTGTGGGTCTGGGTCAGTGAGTGTGGGTCTGGGTCTGTGAGTGTGGGTCTGGGTCGGGACGGGCTCGGGCATTATTCTGTTCTTCATACAGTTAGAGAGCAGATTCATGTACAAGAGTTCCCCATTACACAAAAATGTAGGGAATATTTTGGTTGGGGTCAGGTTCGGGCAGTAGACTTCGTGTTGTCCGCAGACTCAGGTCACTCTGGCGCTCGGTGTGTAAAGACTAAAGTAAAAGTGTTAAAGTTGCGTTCATTAAATCAAAGCCTGGCTCCTACTGTGTCCAAGGGAAGAGTTTTCTCTCAGGTTGGGTCATTATTTCGTCCTCTGTGTTGGTCACAGACTGTGTAGAAGTCTATGGTCGCAGTGTGGACTGTGGGAGACTCTGCGCTACACCGGGTCCGGGAACGTGGCCGCGCTCGTGCACGAGTTTCAAATGTATAATATTGTGGAGAATAATGAGTGGAATAAACAGCCCTTCTCCGTATTTTGGCAAACCAAACACTTAAATGCGCAAATCTGAAGGTAATTCTTCTATATATGTGGATTTTCTGATCAAACACTTCCTCAAAATCTGTTCACTTCTGCTCCTCTCCACGAGTGTCGCTTTTTCCCCGTGTCTCCAGACTTTGCGCAGAGCTTACAGGAGGTCCCGAGTTGGCGTAGAGTTAAGCAAAGCACCACGCCTTAGTCGAGGTTCATAAATAAAGCGGTTGGTGTAGAGAACGCGTACGCAAGGATTTTTGCGTAAGCGAGCTTTATAAATGAGGCCCCAGACTTGTAACTTGGTCCGGTTTGGTCTCTATGAAGATCGAAAAGTTTAAAACTTTCCAGGCAAAGCAATAACACCTCCATGAAGAAAAGCATTCCACGGACCCTCCACCAGAAAAGTGACACAACGCACTTTTTAAAGTATCGACATTGGTATCGGAACAGAAAAAGCTGGATCGCTGCGTCACTATTTACCTCCAGTGAAAGAAAAATCCACCAAACTATAGAAAAGACACTTTCTATCCTAAAATTTGTCTCAGTGCCGTCAACACTTTGCCCAAACCTCAACGAGCCTTCATCCCCAACTCACCGATTTGATTAAAAACATTTTGATTGATGACGCCTTTTTACAGGAAATTCAGTGGAGAGATCTATCACAGAGACAGACCAAAGAGAAAACAAGGCCTTACGAAATAGCATGACAAGGTTAAATAAATATACGCCGCACCTCCATTTTAATAAAACCGCTCTTTGATAATAAACAGCCCTTGATGTCATGAATAATGCATGAGGTGAAACGAGATTTATGGATCTTAAGTGGGAGCCGAATCTTCATTTCAAAGAGCCACTCGAAAGGCTGGCTTCTTTTTATAGTCTTTTAACACTGAAAAGATTTGATTTATTTAATATTTACTCCGGGAATGTGCTAAAATATGTCTTAAACTTTCTACCGTGTTGTAACATTGTTCCCTCATTAAAAACATGCCTGAAGAGGTTTGAGATGCCATCTGTGCATGTTTGAGTAATTTAGCGATCTCTCCGAGGCACTGTTCAAACCCTCTTTACGATTAGCTCTAAGAGAAGCATGAGTTAAAGCGATACACTACAACTTATAAAACATGTTTTCAGTGAATTAAAGGGCCCATCTAATACAAAATCAACTTTTCAGAGCTTTCTACCTTCTAAGAGTGATGTGTGGGCCTTGTATATGTCGCCCAAGTGGTTTTAGATTGATTCGGCATTTTTTAAACAAATTGCAGACGTATTTCTGCCAGTCTTCCCACATGACAACGAACTAAAGCTGCTACAACGATGAAGCGGCAGATACACCTATGACGTGTTTGACATAACAGAAAGCACTTCACACCCTTCCCCCTCCCCCGCTCCACCGCCTCCACCCCACATCTGCTGACAATTCCCACATGAACTCCTGAACAAAAGCGACAGCATAAGCTCATTGTTCTACACTGCAGTGAACACGATATAATAAGTTTATCTCCTAGTGTTTATTAATACTTTACCAATCAGTAATGTTCAGCTGTTGTCGACGCAGTGCTTGATTCAGATTCAGAAAACTTTATTGATCCCATAAGGCAATTCATTAGCAGCATCTCAGAGCAGTTCTCACTTCTCACACCCACAAACACACACACACACACACAGTGTGTCAGTCCATTACAGTCCACCAGTGGAACTCAGTAATAAACTACAAATTACAGCGCACAACATTCAGAAAACTGTACCCTTAGAATTTAACAATTTAATAGCAGAGGGCACAAAAGAATTAGAGAACCGATTAGTCTTTCGTATCGGAGCATAAAACCAAGCTTGCACTTCGTGCACCTCAAAGTCCTCGTCCGATTTCGGGTCCAACACATGCGGCTGAACATGTTGTATCTCCATGATGAATAAAAGTTTATTCTTACCACTATCAGGGTGCACGTCTGTCTCCCCCTCCCTCCCTGAGATGGGAGGAGGAAGGGCGGCTCACTCAGAGCCTACGTCACGTTTGGAGGGCGGAGCCTGTGTTTTCTCAGGACGGGCGGGAGGATGAGCAATAGTCGGACTTTCATAGTTCCTGGTCTGTAACTGTCTCCAAGAAATCAGTAAGATTTCATAACTATTGTGTAATGGATGTTCCAAAACCCAAATTGTGCTTGTTTATGTGCAGAAGATACAATGTGAAAAGAATTATTTTTTCATGAGAGGGGCCCTTTAAGCATTTTCCAAACAATAAAAGGTAACAGTTGCCACATTTACATTAGAGCTTTGATTCCAAATGAAAATCATTTAATTCTGAATAAAAATGAATTCCGCTTTAAAAAGACCATGTAAACACTTCTAAATGAAAACGATTATTCTGAATTAAACTTAATTCCAAAATAAGTGGGTGGTTTATTCTGACTTTTAAACCAAATTAATTCATTCCTCGATCATGTAAACGTTTATTCTTCTTAAAAATAATTCCGGTGGTTCAGTGCATGCTCCTTGGGTCGCTCTTCTGATGCGCTATGGCTCCACCAGTCCTGCCTCCGCTACTGACGGTGAGGGTCCATCCAGCAGCATGAAGTGTCTATTGAGCGATGGGATGGGGGGTGGCGGTGCGGGGGAGTGGGGGGCGGTCTGGGAACAGAGGCTGTGGGGCTTCTGTCATCTCGTTTTTATTTGGTAAGACTTTGTATTATTTGGAGATCATAGACGAGTCTAAATGTTTCAAATGTAATGCACATGCAGACATATAATATCAAATATACAAACTGTAGATTGTGCAGAGTCTCAGGTCTGATCTGATTCTGGTCTGGTTCCTGTTTTGTTCAGTTCATTAAGTTTACTAAGACCATGAAAAGTCAAGATTTTCAACAATTGTGATGAATGGCTAGAAAAGTTAATATAAAAAAAATAAAGTTTTGGACATTTGATTTGAAGTTCAGACCAAATACTACACATGAAATCAATACAATCTGATCCCCCCAAACATCCTGGATCTTATTCTTTGCCCTTAATTCATTTATAAAGTTTTATAGAAGTATCAGATTCAAAATCAAAGACTCGGACTCGAACTCAGGGGCAAAAAAATGTGACATCCCTACTAAATATGTACTTGTTATCCCATAGAAGTAAAAATACCCCCTCTAGCACAATATGTGTATGGGCCAGGACAGAAACCAAACACATTATTCAAATTTCTGCCTTTGCATGAGATATCCAAAAGGTAAATTCAGAAATATTGAACCTGATAACTTCTATTAGTGACTAGATCTTAAGTTGCTATATTTCAACAAAAATCTGCATTAAAACCATATTCATTTCATCTGCCTACATTTGTATTAAATATTCTTGTCCTGTTGAGTGTTGTGATGTCATTTGAAACTCAGCAATAGGACCATAAACTGTACACTCGCCTCATTGTCAAACCCTCTCTGTGTATTATTTCAGAGTCGGCGCTGCGTTTCGACGGGGCGGGGCATCTGACGTACCTGCCTGATGTGGAGGAGGAGCGTCCGGACTTCAGGCTGTCTCTGAGGTTCAGGACGGTGCAGGAGCAGGGGGTCCTCATGTTCACCAACGGGAGCTCAGACTGGGGCAGTTTACAGGTGAGAGACACTGATATAAGGAGAGGAGGATTTACTGGGGTTTTCTTTGTTTTGCAGTTCTTTATTTTCACATACTGGTTTACAGGTACAAGATTCATTTTCAAAACGGCTGTTACGACCCAGCTCTGCTAGGGACTGGAAAGTAACAAAAATAAAACCAAGATGTAAAACTGAATAAATGAAATAATGTTTAATTAACAGGAATATAAAAGGTAAATTAACAAAAGGCTAAAATATACAGAAAATAACCTAAACTAAGAAACAGAACAACAGAATAAACCGAGTTTTGTGCCACAAAAGGGGTCACGCAGGCTTACACAAAACGAGTGGTTAACAAAGGGACACACACTAAACTAAAACACAAGTTCCCCAAATTAAACCACATAAACCCACAAACAGAATCGAGTGACCAAATCAAAAAAGGCACAAAACAGAACTAAACTAAACTACACACACAAACATAAAATGGCAGAGTGGCCACCAAGGCCAGCAGCCCCGAACAGGTGCAGGTAATCTTCTTAAATAGGGGGCGGTGGCTGCAGGTGAGGTGGGCGTCGACATGCTCCACCAATCACAAACCAGGACTCCCACAGCAGGAATCAGGAGAACTCAGCAAAATAATTTAGAACACTCAAAACAAATTAGGACAAAAGGCCCGGGGCCGTAATAACGGCTCTGTAATAAATAAAAACAAAAGTTAAACATAAAATAAAAATTCCACAAAAAGGAACCTCCACAAAATCATACCGTAAAGCCTTTATCTATCTGACCCTTTTGTGTTTTCAGACAAATGGAGAAAGTAATTGCTTCTGTTACATATGTTGTTTGCAATATTTATCCATTCTGATCATAGACTTTATAAAGAAGTGGACTAATGGAGTGTTACGTCACCCATAGTGTTCAGCTCCAGTCAAATGAAGCTCATCGAGTGTTGGGCATTTTACTTTAAAAAAAATTAGTGATTGGCAAATGAGACGGAGCTTGTTCTTTCTGAAACAAATTCCTCCTAAGCCCTGCCTCGGAGCTCGTCTCGCAGCAGCCGCTCACGTGACCAAAGTGTTGAAGTGTCGGCCCCTCCCCCTACTGCTTCACTCTGCGTGAGACACCTGCGTGCCAATGGTTAAATTTGTCCACTAGAGATCAGTGTTGCTGGAATGTTCCACAGTGTGACATTAAACAGCTCTACTTTACATTTATTCAATTACAGGTGGTTTTATAGCTCAAAAATACCTAGAAAAACAGACATTCTGACTGTGAGCGGGGCCGCCTCTCCACAGATCTGACCTTTAACTTGATCTGATTTGGTCTCCATGAAAATAGAAAGGTTTAATGCCATACTGTGAAACATTTCAGCCAAAGTAATAACGTCTAAATGGAGAAAAGCATCTGACGCACCCTCCACCAGGAAAGTTACAAAATGCACCTTTAAGAAATTTCCTCCATCTGAGAGAGCAAATATTTGGAATAACTATTTAAAAATCAGATAATCCTCCTTTCCTCTGTTAACATGACACGCCACAGTCTCCATGTCGGTGAGAAATAGCTCACAAATAAAAACAAATCAGACACTAATCGCGTTCTCTCGTCGTGCATCGGAGTGACTATACGCAGCGTTTTCCCCTGAGACAAAAGCACCGCGTGAGAAATGATTAGATCTGGTTTACTGTCACGTTTTGTTCGGAGAATGCGTCGCTTTGACACTAATTTACTCCAGGGAGACACACATGCCGTGGGATTAGCAAATCAGGAAACAGGCAAAGGACAGACGGGCTCAGTGTGTGTCTGAGTGTGAAATAACAACAAATAAAACAACAGTGATTCGACGCAGAGCTGCTGGATTAGAGAGGAAGATTAAAACCATTATTCATGTATTGTCAGAACTGTGGTGTAGGGACGAACTCATTTCTTATATTATTAGAAATGCTTTGTGTTTCGTGTTTAAGTGGTAGATTATGAGAGTGGCTTTCTGCAGGTTTTCAGGGCCACATCAATCAGAGCAAATGTAATTTAATTTAATGACTGATGATCAAAGCAAAAATTAAAAAGAATTTGCATTGATTTGTAGGTAAAAAAAAGAATCTCACATGTGGTATTTTATAACCATAGGTAACTTCTAAATCGGGGTGTCCAAACTTTTTTCATCAAGGTCCACACATCTAAACACAGACGAAGCAGAGGGCCGATCGAGGGCCGTAGACTGGTGCTCAATACAGTGAATAATTGAAATATGTACATGTTTAACACATTAGAATGAACCATCAGTTTTTATTCATGCTAAGATCCTTAAAACCACACAATAAATATTAAATATCAGCTTTAACAAGGTAGAATAAAAAAAATTTGCAGTAAAAAATTAATTTTTAATTGATGCAAGGTCATTTGGGTCATTTCACCTGGAAGTCTGAGGGCCAAGAAAAATTTGTCTGAGGGCTGCATTTGGCCCTCGGGCCATAGTTTGGACATGTCTGTTCTAGATTTTCAAACTGTTATTTATTACCTGTTTACACGAGAACGCTTGCGGGTAAAAATTACAAAATATTAAATTATATAATTTATCAGAGGTGGCTTTCATTTAGACGGTGACAACATCTTAAAAATACAAAAATCTATATATAATCTATATATAAATAAGGGGAATTGTATAGTAAATGAATATAGAGAATGTATGTATGTGTATATATATATATATATATATATATATATATATATATATATATATATATATATATATATATATACACACACATATAATGTATGATCTATATGGATGTGCTTATACTCGTATAAATAGCTAAATGGACACTTAACATCTCTAATGAAATGAATAAAAATATATATTTTAAAAAAAAATAAAAAATCTGAAACCAGCCTCCAGAGTGGAAGTTGAATACACTCCGTCGTAGCGTTTCAGTCTACACTGCCCAAGAAGCAAAACTCTGGTCAGATCTGCTCAGGTCACGTATGTGTTTACGTCACATCCATCACCACCTAGTGTCACCATCTAGCTGCCTGGCATGCAAACACAATCGAATTCCACACACTTTAGCGTCAGCGTAAATACTTAAGTACACTTATGAAAATAATGAAATGCTACATAAATCCGTGTATCATTCGTTCATTCGTTTTTCAATATAAAACCAAAAATAAGAAAACGAAAAAACAACAGTTTTCTTCGTTATTTGTCTCCAAAACCAAAATGAAAAAACGGATAACGATTCGTTTTTTCAGTTTTCGATTTTGTGTTTAAATGAAGAATGGAAAAAAACGGATAACGGCCGTTTCCCGTTTACGTGACTTCAGTGACTGCAATGCCGAACTTTTGCACCGGGTACGGACTGAGACCGGGACCAGACCGGGACCAGAGCGGGACTGAGACCGGGACCAGACCGGGACCAGAGCGGGACTGAGACCGAGACCACACCGGGACCAGACAGGGACCAGAGCGGGACCAGACCGGACTCCGAGTTTTGACTCCGAGCCTCCACGGGGTCCGAGCCTCAGCTTCGAGCTCCGGCCCTGCCGTGGGCTCCGAGCCTCCGGTCTGGTCCCGGTCTGGTCCTGGTCTTGTCTCGGTCTCGGTCTCAGGCCCGCTCTGGTCCCGGTCTGGTCCCAGTCTCACCGCATACGGACTGAATCAGGACGGATCCAGGTCCGAGACCAGACCGGGACCAGAGCAGGACTGAGACCGGGACAGAGCTGCTCTGGTCCTCCGCGCTCAAGAACCGCGGCTGGTTCCGAGGTGGTGCAAAGCCTCCGACTGACGCATTCACACCAATGAAAATGAATCAAACTAAGAGCTTTTGGTTCAAATGGACCAGGTCCGGGACTAGACCGGGACCAAAGCGCTACTGAGACTGGGACCAGACCAGGACCAGAGCGGGACTGAGACCGGGACCAGACCAGGACCAGAGCGGGACTGAGACCGGGACCAGACCAGGACCAGACCGGGACCAGAGCGGGCCTGAGACCGAGACCGAGACAAGACCGGGACCAGACCGGAGGCTCAGAGCCCACGGCAGGACAGGAGCTCGAAGCTGAGGCTCGGACCCCGTGGAGACTCGGAGTCAAAGCTCGGAGTCCGCCCTGGTCCCGCCCTGGTCCCGGTCTGGTCCCGGTCTCAGTCCCGCTCTGGTCCTGGTCTGGTCCCGGTCTCAGTCCCGCTCTGGTCTCGATCTGGTCTCGGACCTGGATCAGTCCTAGTTCAGTACGTACCCGGTGTAAAAGTTCGGTATCGCAGTCACGGAAGTCACGGAAGTCACGTAAACGGGAAACGGGCCGTTATCCGTTTTTTCCATTCTTCATTTAAACACAAAATCGAAAACTGAAAAAACGAATCGTTATCCGTTTTTTCATTTTGGTTTTGGAGACAAATAACGAAGAAAACTGTTGTTTTTTCGTTTTCTTATTTTTAGTTTTATATTGAAAAACGAATGAACGAATGATACACGGATTTACATAGAACAGTGGATTTTATTTCTGCATGAAACAAAAACATTTTGAACTAAAAAAAAGACACTTGGTTGATGCTTACTTTCAAATGAAATACTCAGTGACTATTTAAGTTCTCATCGTAGGAAATAAAAGTCCAAACTTAAATTATCGACCCACAGTGAACCAAAAATGCGTTTGCTTCTGTGTTCTAGCATAATTTTATCACATGTAGAACCACATGTACCAATGTCATCAGCCGTGAAAACAAATGAATCTGTCAACATAGCATTAAACGTTCTGTTTTCTTCAGAAACTTTTTTGATTGAGAGTTTCTTGGATTTATCCATCATTTACCTACCAGGGGTCGAAAAGCTCAATAAATCATGCTGCTGGTGTAGGTGCCAGTAAGTCCATCAGTGGCTGTGATGCATATTTTGAGCTACAAAAATATTAAAAACATTTTACTTGAATGTTACAAGATGTACCATTATCTACAAATTTAGAATTACATTTAAAAATGAACAAACTAAAATAAAAATACATTGTAATTAAATACTCATTATTTATTT